ATATGAAAAATATGGTTTCAGTGCTATATATAAAAACAGTAAAAGCATAATCTGAAAAAAACAAGCATTGTGCATTAAATTGAATAATATTTAGATATTTTTATAGTTGTTTTGATACCTTTATCTGAAACTGTGTCAGAGTTTATTTAATTTAAGTGGGTACAGTATATAAAACATATGAAAAATATGGTTTCAGTACTATATATAAAAACAGTAAAGACATAATCTGAAAAAACAAGCCTTGTGCATTATAGGGAATAATATTCTGAATATTTTACAGTTGGTTTGATACCTTTATCTCAAACGGTGTCAGAGTTTAATTAAAGTGGGTATAGTATATAAAACATATGAAAAATATGGTTTCAGTACTATATATAAAAACAGTAAAGGCATAATCTGAAAAAACAAGCCTTGTGCAGTATAGGGAATAATATTCTGAATATTTTACAGTTGGTTTGATACATTTATCTCAAACTGTGTCAGAGTTTAATTAATTTAAGTGGATACAGTATATAAAACATATGAAAAATATGTTTTATACACCTTATATATATATATATATACACCTTGCTGCGTGTACTGCTTTAGGCTAACCGAGACTTGTCATTTGCACTTATATATTGTTGCTCTTTTGTTAGTTTTGACTGCTTTTATTGTCCTCATTTGTACGTTGCTTTGGATAAAAGCGTCTGCTAAATGACTAAATGTAAATAAATGTTTTTAGCATTAAAAAGTGCAGTACTGTTCAAACGTTTAAGGACATAAGATTTATTTTTAATGTTTTTGAAAGAAGTCTCTTCTGCTCACCAAGGCTGCATTTATTCAATCAAAAATGCTGTAAAAATAGGAATATTGTGAACTATTATTAACAATTAAAATAACTGTTTTCTGTTGGAATATATTGTTAAATGTAATTTATTGCTGTGATGCAAAGTTTCATTTTCAGCATCATTACTCCAGTCTTCAGTGTAACATGATCCTTCAGAAATCATTCTAATATGCTGATTTGCTGCTCAAGAAACACTTATGATTATTATCAATGTTGAAAACAGTTGTGCTGTTTCATGTTTTTGTTAGACATTTTTTTAGGATTATTTGATGAATAGAAAGTTCAAAAGAACATAATTTATTTAAAATAGAAATCATTTGTAACATTAAATTTGTCTTTACAGACAATTTTGATCAATCCAATGCATCCTTGCCGAATAAAACTATTAAATAAAAATAAAAAAATCTGGTTAAATGCATTTTTGGTGACATTTAGAAGTGGGTAAATCTGAAATCAGGGAGATGCACATGCATTGTCCTACTTCTGGTTGTTTTAATCTAAACGTGAGTATCTTTCAAACTTTTTATACCCTGAAACTTGCAAACAACAAATCCAGTGGCTCTTCCTGAAAGTGGTGCTGGGAACACACCAACTTCACCCCTGCCGAGCTGATAAAGACCTGTGCACTCTGACTCCCAGATACTGCATAAAGCCAGCCAATCAGATTGGAACCGGCAATGTTTGCCAGCTTTTGGTTGAAGATGCTTCAAGCGGCCTGTGAACGGTCTGTAGATGGGTTATCTGAGGCTAAGACTAGTGGATTGTGGGTAACAGGGTCTCAAGCTGTTGAAACAGTGTCTTGAATTAGACAACAACTACTGATGGCTAGAAAGGCTTACTGTATCTCCCTGCAGGTTACAGTGGAGAGCGCAGTGCTTGTTGCTGGCTGATAATGGTGTCCTTCACATGATCTCAGCCTTGCCAGATTGATTTCAGCCCCTCAGGCCGCTTCTCTCTGCTCACTGCAAACACACAGTAATACACACACTCGGCTGCGTCTGTTCTGGAGAGCGGCCAGCCTATTATCTGAGTGACTGTTGTGTGCTGTGCTGTTTAGTGCTGTTGATTCTTCTTTGGCCCGCTGCTGTATCTTGATCCCTGGTTGGGTGTTAATGTGTGTTTGGTAAGAGCGAGAGGCAGGTACTTCAGCTCAGTTTAATGAACAGTTGAGCTGAAGTTGGTGGAGGCTGGACAGATGGATACCAGGACGAACGTCTACTGAAACTGCTCACCTCATTTGTCACAATGTTCTCTAACTCTCTTTATGGAAAATACTCTGTTCATCATGTATCTCTTGTACCGGAATTACTTACTTTTTCACCAAAATTGGCTCAAATCATCTTCAGACGATGCTGGCAAAACGTTATCAAAAGATTTCCGATAGACCAAACCGTTCTCGGAAAGCGTGTTAACGAATTTGACAAAATTTGCACAAAAATGGGCATGAGGCTATATCTTTGCAACGCTTTAGTGGATTGACCAAACTTTACCAAGCATGAAATGAGGGCACCTGAGTAGTTTCGGCACAGTGCCATCTACTGGTCAAAAGATAGAAACATTTTTACTTTTTTTGTTTATAATTTCTGAACAGTTTGACCAAAAATCATAAGATTGATCTCATTAGATTTGGAGCGGCATGCTGAATCAAACAACACCCAATTTCTCTATGTCAGCCATTTTGAGCGTGAACCATTTGGAATTTTGTTTAAACGCTTTAGCGTATTGTTATGAATCTTATAGAACCGCTTGCAGGAAAGTTATGAAATTAGGTACATTGATAGAGGACAGCCTCTAACTCAAACTCTTTAGTGCCACCAATAGGTCTAAAAGAAAAATGATTTTTCCTCTGTTTCCTTGGCTCATGCCGAGCCAAATGCATACCAAAATTTTAATTTCTACAGGTAAAGATTTAGCATTTTTGAATTTTGCAAAAAAATCTACTTTTTCGAACTCATCCTAGATAGTGTATTCGATTTTCACCAAAATTGGCTCAGATCATCTTCAGGCAATACTGGCAAAAAAAGTTATAAAAAGATTTCAGATAGACCAAAATGTTCCAGGAAAGCACATTAACGAATATGACGAAATTTGCACAAAAATGGACATGAGGCTATATCTTCACAACGCTTTAGCGGATTCTGACCAAACTTGGTACGTGCATTTTTGTTTAGAATTTCTAAACAGATTGACCAAAAGTCATAAGACTGATCTTGTTAGATTCGGCATACCGAATAGAACGTTATCTAATTTTCCTATGTATTTATGGATGTCATCCATTTTTAGTTTTGTCGTAAAATTCTGTATCAACAATTGTCTTTAACAGGGGTCTCCAACTCTGCTCCTGGAGAGTTACCATACTTCAGCTTCAACTTCAACCCTAATCAAACACACCTGGACCAGCTAATCAAGGCGTTCAGGGCTACTTAATTACAGGCAGGTGTGTTGAAGCTGAAGTCTGCAGGAAGGTAGCTCTCCAGGAGCAGGGTTGGAGAACTCTTGTCGTTATTGAGTAATTAAAGATAGCTCCTTAGCTTTTCATTTTACCTCTGTTGTGCTCGGCCCCTAAATTGCTGCTTGCAGCTACATTTTGGTATTGTTTTTGCAATAATAAACGGCTGACCGTAAATTATCCCACTTATTACATGATGACTCATAAAATAAAGATGCAAGGATGTTAAATATTTAAACTGAAATTGTTTTATTATCTTTCTTATAGATTTGTTTAAAGTTTCCACTAAGAAAAAAAACCCAATCACAATCAAGAATTCCAGAGAGCCGTGTAATGAATCAAACTACAGTACACTCGTGTACAGACACTCTTTCTTATTCATAACAAATGGATGCAGTTTCTGTTCTTCACAAAATCATTTCTCTTTTTTTATTTATTTTGTGTGTGTTTATAGGTGAGGGCCATGCGTCTGTCGTTCGTGGGTGAGATGGGCTGGGAGCTTCACATCCCTAAAGAGTCCTGTCTGCCCGTCTACCACGCCGTCATGGCCGCAGGGGCCAAATATGGCATCTGCAATGCCGGCTACAGGGCCATTGACTCCTTGAGCATTGAGAAAGGTATGGGTTAATGTTATTATTATTACTATCACTGTAATTCATTATCAGTATTATTTTTATTGGGCCAGTAAGCAACCAACCTAACCGCTCTTTCAACCACGCAAACACTCTGCGATGCCTTGGCAATAACCCAAGATTGTGCGACATTTTGCACAGGATGACTTACACTTTCTTCTGAAAGCATATAAATGTAGTTCAGTAGTAAAAGATGACATTTCCACATCTCCTCATGCATTATGAGTGTTGGCGATCTGATTTTGCTGTAGTAAAAGCATGCTTTTAGTGTGTCGAGATCAGTTGATTTACTGTGCGCTTGTGTTGATGAGCAGTGTTTGGGCCACTAGAGTTTCACTCAACAGATCTTGATTGATCTGCGATACATTTTCTATTAACACCGCAAGCATAAAACATCATTGCATCGCTCTCCAATAGAGTCACATATATAATTCATTCTTAATGCTGCTTTCAGCCTTAAACTGCAGTTTTTCTGCAGCAGCACTGGTCGAGCATACAGTCAATGCACACCGGTGGAGATAATAGTTCAGATGTACTATAGGTTGGTAGGCGTCCCTAATGCACTGAGCTCTGGAAGCTAAAGAAGTAGACAGTAGGGCACAATAAAAACTCATTACTGCAGCTGAACACTTCAGCATAGCACTTCCACTGCACTCTTGAGACTCAACTCAGCTTCACTGTTTGTTCACTACGTAGCTCATATCTGCTAGACTGTGTGCTCCTGGTTGAAATACTCCACCTGAGTGCAAGACGAAGAAATAAGTCCATCTCTGTTTATGTGAATGCATCAGCATGCTAGTAATAATGGATGTGTGATTTCATGTTTAGTGTTTGGTTCAATGGCGTGATGCTCTTTGGATCTATTCATTATTTAAAAGTATTTAAAAATGCAATTTATATAGAATGCACTTTTCCTGACGAACGTGTTTTTATTTTCTAAATTCAAATTAATTTTGATACCTTTTGTTGGGGTCAAGTTTAAAACGTTAAGATTATAAGAGATTGTAACAAAGAAAAAAGTAATATTAAAAGCTGAAACTCTTGAATTATTATTATTATTAGAATTTATTTTTGTTTGTTTGTTTACAAAATTACTATTTCCTTTGAAATAAAACTTATACAGTAAAAACTATATTACATATTGTGTAATATTATTACTATTTAAAATATTTTCTATTGTAGTATATTTTAAAATGTATTTTATTCATGAGATGCAAAGCATCATTTTCAGCATCATTACTCCAGTCTTCAGTGTCACACGAACCTTCAGAAATCATTCTAATACGCTAATATTTCCTATAATTGGCAGTGATTAAATTTTTGTGGAAACTATAATACATTTTTTTCAGTATTTTATTTTTTCATTTTTAATTTTTTGTGATGAATAGAAAGCCCAAAAAGAACAGATTTTTTATATCTTTAGTCACTTTTGGCTAATTTAATGCATCCTTGCTAAATAAAAGTATTAATTTTAATAAGTCTTACTGTCATTCTGTTCAAAATATTTTTTAAATGATTAAATCAAAGCTTTCATTGACAATTGTAATTTAAAACAAAATAGTAAAAGTTATATTAAAATATATGAAACCAACATGAATACAAACTTTCCATTTTCTAAGAACTTACTCTTTTTTTTTTTTTTTCATTTAAATGGTTTTGAATCATCTGTCTGTCTCTCTCTCTCTCTCTCTCTCTCTCAGGTTACAGGCATTAGCACGCAGATCTGCGTCCTGATGACACTCCACTAGAGGCGGGACTTGCATTCACCTGTAAGATGAAGACCTCCATTCCCTTCCTGGGGCGGCAGGCACTGGAGGCCCAAAAGGCTGAGGGTCTGCGCAGACGGATCGTCTGCTTCACAGTTGATGAGTGAGTCCCAGCGCAACAAAGAACAGATTTCAACAAAATTACTGTTATGAATGTAGACATAATAAAAAGGCAGGAATATTAAGGTGGTAGATTAACAGGAGGGTTTGACTAAATTTCGAATCCGTTTTAGGGGTTATCGCTCTGTTTGCTTTAAAAAACACATGAGTGAAAAGTAAGTTTGGCAGATTTACTCCTGAATGTGAATTTAGGGGTTAAAGTGATTGAAAATTGACTCATCTTCAGGCCATCCAAGATGTAGATGAGTTTGTTTCTTCATCAGATTTGGAGAAATGTAGCATTACATCACTTGTTCACCAGTGGATCCTCTGCAGTGAATGGGTGCCGTCAGAATGAGAGTCCAAACAGCTGATAAAAACATCACAATAATCCACAAGTAAACCACACCACTCCAGTCCATCAGTTAATGACTTGTGAAGCAAACAACTTGTTGATTCTTGCTAAAATAAGAGTCCTTTATCTATAATATTGCTCTCTGCAGTGGAAAAGTCGTCTCATCTGAATCTGGTGAAAAATAGGTATGCATCCCCCTTTTGGGGGAAGAACTTTTTCACCGGAGGAAGCATTATTATGGATTATGAACTCGTATTCTAGCCAAAAGCAATAGTTTGAAGTTAAAAACACCTTGATGGATTTGTTTCTTACAAACACGCAGCTTTTCACTTCAAAAGATGTTAATTGATGGACTGGAGTAGTGTGGATGATTGTGAAGAAACAAACTCGTCTACATCCTGGATGGCCTGAGGGGGAGTATACTTTCAGCAAATGTTCTTTTTTGGGGTGAACTTTTTCTTTAAAATTCAAAGCACAGCAGCAGACTAATATGCTGGTCATCACTGGTTTCGTAGCCTCGGGTATTTGGCAAGGTTTTTGACATTTATTTACAAACGGTCTGACTTAAAAGTGAATAATTGCTGTAATTCCGAACTAATGTTATTATACATCACCGCACATTTGACTGATGAGATTTTTCAAGGAGACATCTGAGCTTGACCAACACTTTTCACTTTTCATGTCCACTTAAAGCTCCGTTCTATGAGTCTTAGTTACAGCCGTCCAATGCCCAAACAACTTCGTCAAACGCAGTTTATAGAAGTTGAATTCCTAACAAATTTGGATTCAGTCATCTTAAAACTTTCCAGAAGTTTTTTCAGACGTTTCAGAAGCAAACAGCCAGATCTGGACGTGGCCTCAAGAATCTGTCACGGATGGACCAGTGTTCATGTTATTTAGGGTCTCATTTGATCAGCGTTGATGGTGTTGTTTGTCCTTCCTGCAGGAAAGTGCCAATGTTTGGTCTGGAAGCTATTTTCCGCAACGGCGTTCCTGTGGGCCACCTGCGGCGCTCCGAATTTAGATTTGCCATTGACAAGACCATTGGCTATGGTTATATTCGCAACCCAGACGGTGGAGTGGTGAGTATCGTACAACAGCTGTCTGCCTAAAACTAGTCAGCTGTTTATCTAGACAGCATTTAAAGCTGCAAGGTGCTGCCTAAAGCTTAAAGGTGCTCTGCTAAAACGTACATTTTATACAGACTTATGTATTACTGCCAATGTTGAGTCCAAATCAGACTATTATGAGGATCCATTTTGGCCTTAAAATCAGCTTCCTTTGTAGGCAGTAGAGAGTAAGGTAGATATTCAGTCATTTTGTTTGGGTTTAACAACTGTTTTCTGTTTTACTCACACAGTCAGATCAGACATCAGAATATGAGAATGGGTCACTTCTTATCATCAACATGATATTTTCAGTATAATTGCACTTTGGCAAGTACTTTTAACAGATAAGTATTAAGAAGCCCTCTTCTCTTTGTTGCATATGCACTCGTTTCCTTCTCTGCTGTTATGATTGAGGGTGAGTCATGCGAGATGTTCCTCATTTAGGCTAATTTAACAGGCCTGTAAAGAGCGATGATTAGATGAAGGATACTGTGTGTCGCACATACTGCTGTTACTGAAATACTTACTGTCCTGAAATGAAAGATGGTGTTGAGTATGGCTAAACCTTATATCATCATGTGATCAGTGTGAAAAACATATTGTTAGTTTTTGGAGGAATTTCAATGAAATGTTCAATGAGCAACCTTTAACATAAATAACCATGAAACATAAAAGTATCAAATAATAATAATTTTTGTCACATAGGTTTGTCAAGGTCAAGTGTCAAGGTCTCTCGTCTATGTATAAAATTATATATGTATTATTTGGTGGAAATTCAATGGTAAAAAATATTTACAGGTACTGTATACTTTCTAAATATTTTATAATGATACTTATTATTATTTAAATAATTATATGATTTATTTAAATTCTTTTTATTATTTGGTGGAACTACACAAAAAATTTGAATTATTTAAAATAAAAAAATTAATTTATTAAATGGTTACACTTTATTTTAAGGTGTCCTTGTTACAGTGTAATTTACAGTTAAGTACTGAGTAATATTAATTAATTACATGTACTTACTATTTGGTTAGGGTTAGGATAGATAGATAGATAGTTGCCTATATATATATATATATATATATATATATATACTATATATGGGTTGTTGGCGTGACATGTCATTTTCACTGTCCCACAAGATAAAAATGAATATAATTAATATTGTCGTTATTTAAAATGCAGTAAATCATTAAACATTTCTTTGTCCTACATGGACCTGTTGTTATAAAAGCTGCAGTGTTATTCGATTTTTTTTTAAATTATTGAGCCAAATCGCAAAATTGTCCTATGGTGTGACTGTCTCGAGCATGGTTCAATAAATGACAACTTTTATAAATTAAAAAGAAAAGCATAAAAATGTTAATAAATACCTC